TATTGTGCATGAGTGAGTTACAATAATTGCGGCAACATTAATCGATTTTCCAAGTTCGATCGTCAGTGGGTTTGTGATAAGTGTTCTATCGTGACAGACGTGATGTATCGTGATTGTTATAATCTTCTGTTATTAGGTTACAACATTGTAAACAAACACCTGTTGGCGAAGCTCTAGTTTTAGCAGAAACATATTTTTATTTCAGACGCAATATCTTGATAAAAAAAAATGCTTAATGCACTATTTTAATGTATGTAATTTACTTTAGTATGGAAATATTTTATTTGTATTGAATTGAATATAATAATCATTTATTTCGGATACCAATGGATCCTCAGTGGGTTAGTAACAAACAGATTATACTTAAATAGGTACTAAAGTAAATTTATAAAGCAGGATCTAATGTCATCCTCCGATCGTTATAGATAATGCAAAATGTCATAATATAAGTACGCAAATGTTCGTTACATTTATATTTATGTTTCAAATTTCTTTAGATTTATAAAGAAGTACAGTTTCTGAGTTTTTGAGGTTGTAAGGGATAATCTCTGAATCTACTGAATCGATGTTGGAAATTCTTTTACCAATAAAAAGCCACGTTATTTGTGAGTGTCATTGGTTGAACCCGAAAAATGAAGTAACTCTAACATGGACGAAACCGCGGGCGGCTGCTAGTTTCTAAATAATTTTTAGGATGATCTATGTTCATAGTTGTAAAATTGTAATTAATGATAAGGTTAGGTGTTTTGATCAATTCATGTCAAACAAGTTCAGTGGGAATAGTGGCAGGCCAATCTTGAAATGTCGGTTTTCACGATATGACTATGAGTTTCATGAGGCGAATAATACGATCAGGCGACGACAAGTTTTATGTGATGGATAGAAATAAATGATTCCTTTTAATCCTATCAGTTTTATTTCATGTCACATAACTTAAGTGAAGATCTGATAGATACATTTGGAGATGAGATAAAAGCATTCCTCAATGACGCAACGAACAATACAAATTTATTTCTATTCTATTCAGTATATTTTTTTTTGGTTTATTATATGACATACAAAAGAGAAATTACTGGCCTGATACTTATGTCGGTATATTTAGCTGATCATGCTCTATATTATAAAAATATAAAATCAATCACATTTATTTAATGAGTAACAAAAAATGAAATAATAATAATAAAAATAAAATAAATGTGCGTGAAAACCTAAGAAACAAATAAATCAATCACACTTTTACAGAAATGTAAAAAAATAACTGAAAAATTAATAAGTTTTAGTAATAATCATTTATGTACCAAGAAAGTGTTTTATTGTAAACAAACAATGAACTCTATAATTTTGGTATTGTAAATATTTTATGCTATATGAGTATATCAAACTATTGAAGTTTAATAATGAAGTTATGGGTTGTTCCGTATACCTTATGACGTCTTATTCTGCTCATTATTTTATTCTTTACCTTATTCGATCTATTGATGCTCACCCAATCCACAAATATTATTTTATTCATGCAATCAGTATTCCTAGCTCAGGTTGAGATTTACTAAAATGACGTCTTACAAAAATATGAATTCGATGATTCGATTGTTGACTCGATATAAGCGAACAACAAATGTTTTCCTTTAAAAATATGTGCATTGTTTATTTTATAATTTGTTAAGCTTTTTCCTGTCAAAATTGAAAGTTTCAAATGGCAGCTCATCTACCTGAGCTTTGGTATGCAACCTTTCAGTTCAATAACCTCCGGCGTCCGAGGCGCCAATATTGACAATACACCCATCCTTATACGATTGCACGCTTATAACATCGGGAAAAATACCTTTAAACGCATTATGCCTAACAACTTTTGCCAAACGTTGCGTATCCATATTAAGATAAGCCGAACACCGGAATTAAAGTTTTATTTGAATACCATCGGTGGTATTATAAAAGTCATATAAGTTAGTGACTTAATAATGTCGAGATAAAGGTTGTGGAACTTATTTTAAAACATAAATCATAACAAATGATTTATTTAGTGCTTCGATCTCAGAGAAAAGTAGAATCTATAAAATATAGAAAGAGAATCTATAAGTATCGCTGAATTTTTGCCTTTTTTTGTCGTTGTGGCACTCAATTTCATAATAATCAACACTAGTATCTGTCTAATTGAATTTATGTGCTGCACATGATGGAAATAAATGATTTATCAATCTATCTATCCTATCCATTTATATTTTATTGAACTACAGACTAACTTTTCAAGCAGAATGCTAAAGAAGAAAGTGCTGTGTTATAAAATTTTTAAGTAGGGATAGTAATTAGCATTACATATTATTTTTAGCCAGCATTTAAGTTATCAGCTTTTCATCTTGTCAAAGAGTGAAACGTTTGAAATTGCACCTTTAATTAATTTAAAAAGTCGACGTTCTGACACTGATGGTCACATTTTGCTGTTAGTTCGACAGTGAAAGTATAATCCGGGCTGTAAAATGGCAGTTCCAATTATAGTAATAAGGAGGTCTTGACAGGCCTTAGCTAGTGGGTTACGTTTGATAGTAAGAATGATTTAAATTTTATTTTACGAACGAAGCCCTAGAGAATAATATAACTTTTTAATGTAAACCTTAAGCGTCTGCTTAGTCCTGGTAACAATCTAAAATTGCTAAAGAATGATGAAGAAAATGGTAGTGTTAATTATCCATTAAAAAAATAAAAAAGCGTGTATTGCTCTATCGATATTATCGTAACCTACCACCTAGTACCTATCTTTATCTCTTTCACTTCCGAAGAGTTATTAAGGCTTATCAACTCTTCCGCTGATGACAAACAATAAGGTACTTACGTACAAATATAACTAAAGTAAGCATTGAACATGAAACCTTCGAGTTTCTATTGTTGGTTTCCTCTCTCAAAGGTTGTAGCAATTAGACTATTTGGGAAACCTTGACGAGGGAAAATCGGTTAAGCGCGTTTTGATGAGCGCTTCCTTCGACGTATTGTTTGGATTTTACGAATGCATTATTAGTAGATATAACGTTTTGCCTAATGCTAGATGATGGTAGATATTTTTCGCTAATACGTGGTTAAGTATGCCAACACTTTGCTAATGCTTCAACTTGATGTGCGTTTCTAAAATTTTAAAATAAACTGTTGGCCTCTGAAACTTATTTCGTCTAGTCAATTTTAGAATCCAATATTTTCTTGAGCCCCTCAAAACCATCGGCTTCATTATGTTATAATTATCATAAAATTTAAAAAAGGATAATCTGTGTGATACATAATAATCATGAACAAGAAACAAAATAATCTTTGTTAAAAGATGATAATTTTTGATTTACTTTAAATTTTAAAATATACGAGACAAACACAAGTCGGATTCCGATCTCATAAGGCGCCTCAACAACCTCCAATTTTTATTGGCTTCTTAACGAGTATGCTTTCTTTGGGAAAAGCTGATATAAAGTTCATATGGTGTTCAAAACAATAGGGCTAGTTGAGAGTAGGACAAAGTTATAACAAAAAAATTATAATTTAACAATATTAATAAATATGCAAGCTTTGTAAGCAATAACGTTTCAATAGTCTTAAATGTTTGTTACAGATAAATAGTAAAATAATGAATTTGAAAGAAAAAATACAACATTTATTTACATTTATTATATTTAGGTCAACTATACCCAGATTACCTAAATATTTAAACACAGGGTTCAGAAAAGGTCTTTTATTATATTCAATTAAATCTGAAAGTTTTTTCTCTGGACAGAATTCATCACATATTTTATGTGATAAATTCTTTTATTTATATTTATATATACCTACCCGTTCCCAATTTATCTGCGACCAACTTATTTTTTTTTCTCTTCAACTGTTCCATCCAGCCTTCATTTCAATATTAAAACCCTTTTTATCATATAAATTTTCATTTTTCTTCAGTTATGTATAATTCTATTGATTTTATATGTAGGTATGTTGTATATTAATAACTTATATTAAAGTTTCACAGATCAATCAAGTATAAACTATTCTTCAGCAAATCTGGGTCAGAATATTTGTGCTAAGTGAAATAATTAATAAGCATGTTATGCTTATGTAGGTAGCCGGCCAATTTACTACGATTACAATTGCAAATATATTGCTGAAATAATTGTACAGTCTTCGGAATTTACTAATGTTTTAATTGCCGCGACCTCGATTATAAATTGCTGGCATTAATGGATTATAAAAAGTGATCACAACTAGACAATTTAGTCAAAAAAAAAATTATCACTAAGAAAAAAGTGTGAGATGTTTCAGGTATTCAGCATGGATCTACCGAGAGAAAAAATCTCCGTTCATCCATAGCTTGAAATGAGGATCTATAGAGAAAGAGTTCTCGCTCGAAACATCGTGAATCTAGCTAATGTATCTATTGAGAATGAACGAAAACAAATAAGTGACAAACAAACAATTTACAATCAGTGTATTTTTAATTACAAACACCGATATAAGTGTTTTCTTTAAATATCTATGTCGAAAAAAAGTTACTTTGTTAATAAATTTGACATCGTGTTTTAGCAGTATTTTTATAACCACCCGTGACGTTTCTGCTTGCAGTGGGTCATTGTCACTCAGAGCGTGCAACCAACTTTATTTACTGTGAAATTATCCGTAAAAGTTCTTTACCTCTGTTGCAACAAAACCAATAGTCTTTGATCTGGCTTGCATAAGTCTTTTTGCAATGTTAACGGGTTGTTTCCCTTTAGATTTGATAAAATAATAATTAAATATTGTTGCAACCTCGATTGTGATAATATTAAATATTGTGTTTATGATTGGACGAATGCAAATGAAATGGAAATGATATTTCTCTTGCTTATTGTTACAGTAATTTAATGCAAGATATATTAAGGCAACCCGCGCAAATTTACAATCAATGGTGTTGCACCCACAAGGCGTTTAAAATGAATAGGTGTTGAGTTTATCTCTTGTGTTGGCTGCATTCAATTCACTCTTCATTCAACCTATTATGAACTTACCGTAATGTCTCGTTTCTCCTGTGGGAACAGCAGTTGCGGCAGAAATCATTAGAAACAAAAGGGTAATCCTTGCACTCGCACCCATTTCGGTAATGTCACCTATATTGATTTTGTCCGAAGAAGAATCGTACAAAAAATTAAAGAGAAAATTTTCTTTTACTTATTTTTTTCAAAGTTTTCACGTTCGACGCAACTATTTCCCGCGTGGTTTCGGTAACATTTGCGCCGTGCGCACACGTCCGTCTACCTCGGCGCGGTGCTAACGACTGGGGTCTTGGAATCGCGTCTGCACTTTCTATCTGCTATAAGCGTCCACTCAGCGTCTATGCACCCGTAGCAGTGGAATACGTACTACGAGAAAGCTCGAAGAATAGTCACATTAAATTAGAATGCTGTTCATTGCTGTGTTGTTATGATTTGACTTTTTATGTGTCTTCTGAGCAATCATCTACGAACGCGTACTATTAGACAATACTCCTTTATCTGGTACTTTCGAAGTAGTGTATTTACAATACAGTAAAGTTCGTAGTGTATGCGGACACTTTGTTATTGCTCGTATACGTAGATCGCATTGCAAAACTGTTTTAATCGTATAAAATGTTGATTTGTAATAAGTGTGATAATTGTTATGTCATCTTTGAGGGTTCCGTAGTCCTGACAAGGAAACCTTATAGATTCGTCATGTCCGTCTGTCTGTCTGTTCGTCAACGGTTTTGCTTGGAAACTGTTAGCACTAGATTTTGTGGAGATATGTATATCAATCACGCCGACAAAAGAAAAGAAAAATAGGGTAGCTGCCCCTACATGTCACCTGGGGATGTTTATATTATTATTGTCTACCCTATCGTGTGGAATATAGTTGAATAGGTCCTTTAAAATAACTTAGGGTTCCCAAGACTATATTTCGATTTATGGATCCGTTAGCGAAATATATAACTTTAAAGTGTTTATTTTTGTTCGAGTAGTGTCCCCTCTCCCCTTTAAAAGCTTAACTATTGGCTTGAAAAACCTGGAAAAATTCATGATAATAGTGCTTTTCGTCAACTTTTAAGAATAATTATAACGGATACATTTGTTACTTTAAGAGTAATAGTCGTTCAACTTTGGTTAAAGAAAAATTCTTACCTAGAAAATTCCTTAGAAGAAAACATTAATAGTAACATTGATGAAGTTATTGTAGCGTAAAACCTTACATTGAATTAAAAATTCGCTGGTCGGACAGCTCAATATTAGCGTGAAACCCGCTGTGCTCTACCTATGAAATAGTATAAATATCTTTTTCTTTAAACACATGGAAAATAAGCGCATGGCTCCGAACGAGAACCTAAATGGCGCGTTAGAAATATCGTCTACTCTGACCTACTCACAGAAAGAGGAAGAGGAACACAGGAAGAGAGCGCCACAGTATGTGTGAGTAATTTCTCATAACTTAATCAAAACTTGGTGCCCATTGTCGTTGCTCTCGGGTGTGAGCGCTAATTGGTTAGATTGTTCGATGTCGCGTCATTTGATTGGCTATTAACTATTAGGTGGAAGAGTAGCCGGAGCGAACCGGCGACATGGGTTCCCGTACAAACGGTCTCTGATCACCCTTCTAAGCTCTTTCTGTGTTCTGTGGACCTACACCTTACCCCTTGAGATACACTACCCTACTTACTTCGGTAATTTTATAGTCAATCGTTTATTGCAAACTAAGTGTATACTTATAGCTGGATAATTACAATATGAGTACTTCCAAACTTATTTGCCCTTTTCGGACACAGCAAATTGTTAGAGGGCTAATAAAATAAATAAATTAACAAATCCTATAGAAAACTAGCTGACTCGGCGAATTTCGTACCGCCCAAAACGAAAATTTGTAATAAAATAATATTGCGACTATGAATTGAGATGTAAGCTATCCTATCTTTCAATTTGGATCAAACTACACACGGTGATCAAATTTGACTAAAATCGGTTGAGTAGTTTAAGAGTCCATCCCGGACAAACAACGTGACCCGTAATTTACATATATTAAGATGTCATATCGTCATTTCGGTATTTGTTATTTATTTTCGGTACTTTTTTATTTTTAATAATATTTTTGATGTCATTATTATATATATTGTGTTCATTATATATTTGATTCTTTTTTATTAAATTTAAATAATATCAAACAAATTTAAATAGGTTATTAAGATAGGTATTCATTATTAGAATAAAAACATTGTGTAATAAGGTAATCGTGTAACTTTTTTTCAAATGTTTTCACAGTTAGCTGATTTTTAATTTCCGTCGGTAATTTGTTAAATATTTTTATAGCCATGTAACATGGACTGTAATGAGGATTATTACAAGCTCAAAATCAATAGTAAATAAATAAATATTTTTAACACTCACACCAATTAGCCTAGCCCCAAAGTAAGCACTAAGGCTTGTGTTATGGGATGCTAGGGTAACGGATAGAATACATAAACTGTACATATATAAGTATATTTATATAGAAATTCATATTAAACATCCATGACTGGAGTACAAATGCTCGTATTCATCACACAAACATCTGCCCCCACTGGGATTCGAACCCGGGACCTCTAGAGTCGGCGACACCATGAAACCCTGCGTACAAACCACTCGGTCACGGAGGTCGTCAAAGTACAATAGTGCAATGATCTTATAATTAACTTTTTAAATCATCGAAATCGGTTCATTCGTTGCGATTTTATAACTAATTTTATGGTAGCCAATATTCACCGGCGGCCGAAACGTGTGACGTCACAGAATACGATCGTGGTTCTCTCTGGTTGAACTTCAGTAGCGTCTCTACGCACGCTCGCGCCCGAGCGATAGAGCTCTGTGACGTCACAGCCACCACGCAGCCAGCCAAAAATTCGTTAAGTAATTTGGTCAAAACTTCGTCCATATTTGTTGTAGAACAAAATTTTAACCACTCTATTTGATGGAATCTTTAGCTCTATAAATCTGCATTTTCAACTAAAATCATTACGGATCCTCATTTCAAAAAATTATTCATCCAACTCTACAAAATATTATGCAATTGCATAAGCCATAAACCAGCCCTTATATTGAGTAAAGGTGTATTTGGCAAGATTGAATTCAATTGAAATTTAGTAAGAGCAACCAAGTGTTGCATTTGTGTTGATTGTATGAAAGCCTATAATTTTATTATCCAAGCTAAAAAGTGCTTAGCCTGTTCTTCTCCAAAGTCAGCTGAAGTCCCATTATATATAAACCAAAATTGTTCATTGTTGGTTCTGCTGCCTATTCGTGAAAGTTAAACAGACAGACAGACGGACGAACATTCAGATATACTCTGTCTTATTTATGTATTATAATATTAGCATGAACTATAGCGCTTACTGTACCATGCCTCACCACGTGACTGATGACTGCTGACTTATGGTTTATTTCTCTTAAGTGATCCTACTCCCAGCCGATGCTTGTGATACGTTTTAGCGATATATACCAGAACGATGTTTTTTAACATTAAAAATGTTTTTTCGTTCGCTCCAGTAGGCCCCCATTTCCGCTGAAAGTGCAACTCGCCCGTGATACCCCGAGGTTTAGAGCCACGAGAACGTATGAAAAATCGTGTTTTCACTGAAAATTTCCGATATTTGGAGAACGGAGCCGAATTACAAAAATATGAAAAAAGAACACCTCGGTATTAAACACCAAGAAAGAAAGAAAATAAAAACATTTTATATTCTTACACTTTTTTCGATATTGGTGACCGTTGAGGCTGTAGAAGTGCCCTTAGCCGCGAGTTTTTCGCGGCGCGAGGTGTGATATCACGATATCACGCGGCGGGCGGCTCGCGTGCGGCCACGAGCGCGTATGAGATTTCAAAAGACGCGAAATTCGAAGGGCTTTAAGATGATGTAAAAGTACTTTGGAAAAGTTGGTCTTGAAAAGAAGTTTTATTGGTTTTGACAAAAAAATTAAAATTTTATAATTTGAATTTTAAAAAAATTAATAATCTATAATAGGTAGTTTCATTGTCAATGCCTTTCAAGTAGTGTAGGGCACGAGATCTTTGATTTTTTTGTATATTAAAAGGGTGGCACTCGCGGCCTATAGACACTTGCGGTACCAAAAATATCACTCACAGCGTTGTCTAACCCTGACCCAACAAGAACACAACACCACCAAAAGGTAATGTTATTTTAATGTGAAATTATGATAATGATGATGATCTATTCTTAAACTAGGTAGGTATACACATTAATATGATTAAATGCGAAAGGAAAATTCAATGCCCATAGAAATTCACAACTTGCTGAGCGCCTGCGATTGACAAACAGAATCCATTTTTCGTCGTAAGTAACATTGCGATTCAATATCATTTTTTTTAAGTTGATTTTTGGAATCTATGCCCACAAAAATACTCATTTTATCTATTATAGCTATCACAAAAAAGGGTAAAACTCGTTGTGTCTTAATTATTTTTTACCTACTAATTTGACTGTTAGGGTGTTTTAATGAAATAGCAGTTATTTTTTGTTATTGTGCAATTTTTATACAGAAATTTAAAAAAAAAAAATTACATGTACTTGTAGTATGCTATTAAGTTTACTTTTAAAATCAACTGCTTGTATATGAGCAGATTTTCTCAGTCAGTCATAAAATGCTGTCCTAACTTTAATTGCTTGTACTGTAAAATTTTATTAATATGACTTATGTAGGCCATATTACACGATAGGTTATGCATGTGCAGTTTTGCCTGTATAGTAAAACTGCTGGCATGCATGAACGTGTATGCAAGGATAACTGTATAGTGTTCTTTTACACACGTTCATGCATGCCTGCCTGTGTATGGCTTGCATTCCCCTTAGCCCTTTATATGCCGTCGTTTGTGTGCCTGTTAAGCAGTACAAGTTAAGTGAATTCAGTATAAATTTTAGATTAAAGGGATCAGGGTCAGATATTTTTGGCGAAACTTTCACGTAGCAGCTATCTACTCATTTAATAGAGCGTGATAAAACCAAACCACCACCTTGATGACTCGTAATTTTATTGTCAAGGCTAGATCTCTATGGAAAACTCTTTAATTACTTTAAACCCGATTTTACCATATTACTTGCTAGCGTGGTAGTCAAAAATTCTTTTTTTTTATCGATAGGTCTGACAAATGACTCCACCCCACCTGATGTTAAGTGATGGTGAAGTCCAGACGTGAAGATAGCTGGTACAGCAGTTCTATCTGCCACACCAGCCATCCTCATCTTGCCGGCCTGCATATTGCTTCTTCACGCCTCTTTTAAAGGATC